ATACCAAATTGAGGCCAATTTTAGGCTAATTTATGATTATTTAAATTCTGAATTGATGCTGAATGATGCTGAATTGAGATCAATTTTAGGCTGATTTATGGTTATTTAAATTCTGAATTGATGCCAAATGATACTGAATTGAGATCAATTTTAAGCTGATTTATGTTATTTAAGTTTCGAATTAATGCTAAATGATGCTGAATTAAGGTCAATTTTAGGCTGAATGGCCATGTCAATCAGCGTCTATCGGCATCTGAATTGTTGCCTAATTGAGGCCAGTTTTAGGCTGATTTATGGTTAAATTTAAGTTTCGAATGGCCATGTCCGATTGGGGTCGATTAACGTCTATTGGCACCTGTTTGTGCTGATCAGAAAATATGGCAAATTAGCCGTAAATAATATCAAAATCAGCCTAAAATTGGCTATCTGATTTTAGGCAGATTTGGACTATTTCGACTAGTGTCTAGGACATATTAGTCTTGAACAAGTAATGTCTTAGAATATATTAATATATTAAAATATTAATATGTTTTAAAACACTACTGTACTTATAAATATTATTTAAATGGATTTATGCTATATGTCTTATAATCAAATTGGAAATAAAATTTATATAATTACAATTAATTATATAAATATTGTTACCTATATAAATAAATATATTTTTTAATTAAATTTAATTTTGTTAGTATAGTTAAAGGATTTAAAAAACTTTTAATTCTTAAATATATCTAATTATCTGATTTAAAATTAAAGTTTTAATGGTAAATAGAAGTGTTAAATTTTAAGGTAATTTATCAAATTAATAAATAAATATAATATTCAAATTTAAATAACTAATTCTAAAGAAATTATGGGTATTACTAAGAGATTTAATTATACATTACAAGAGTAAGCATCTTTATTTAAAATACTGTTAAAATGAGATGATCTTTTACTGAAACTGTTAAGCTTAGATAAAAAACCTTTTATTTTCTCTTAAAGCTAATAATTCTGTAATCAGCTTTCTTCTGCTAAAGCTTGAAAAAAAGAATATGTTTTTGCTAAAGCTTTTAAATTATATAAAGAATTATTTGGATTTGATGAGCTTAGACTTTCTTATAACATTTTAGTAAGATATTTGCTTAATTCTGGTAAATTAGAAGGAACGAGAAGATGCGAAACTGATATGAATTAGTCTTCTCAAATTTATCATATTAAACATATTAAAAATTCATTTAGTTTATAGCATAATGAAAGTAGTTAGCTATAGAAAATTAATTTTGTATAAATAGAATAACTTTATGTGTAAGTTATAAATAAGTTTCAAGCTATAATAAAAGAATCAGTCAAAACATACAAAATTCTTTTCTTTATCCTTCACTAGAATTTGATTGTGATATATTATACTAACTTACTTTTGAGTTTATTATTGAATTCAATTAAATAAATCTTAAGTTTTAAGATGCATAAATTGCAAAGTTGATTCAAGAATACCAGATACTTGTAAGACTAAAAGAACTCCCTAAGGTGTAAACTTTGACAAGTAGAATCATTGCCGCAAACCTCCCAATTAAGACGTTAAAAACTGAAACTGAATCTGATGATAACATAATTACTTATTATGCATGTGATTTACATAGCGTCGCTTGAAAAAAATGATAGTTGGGATTTACTTTACTAGGTAGTTATTATTAGGATTAGGAATTAAGGTAGAATTAGATTAGTTAAGGGGTTCAAAAGAGGGTGCAATTAGAGAGATCTCTCTGTATAAGAGATGGAACCAATCTACAATTACGTAATGTTTCTAATCGCAACATTCCGAATTTGATTTCTAGGCTGTTGATGTTTACTGCAACATATTTAAAGTAAGGTAGGTTGCTGTTAATGATTTATTTTTTTATCTGCATCCATTCGGAAAGGTAAACGAACTCAGGAAAATTGGTCTCTATCAAAATCACCTGACTGAAATTTCCAAGATCGCGCGATCTCGGAAAAATATATGCAGTAATGGATGGCTCATGATTATAAGAACGAAGTTAAAAATGGAGCGTGTTTGTGATTATCGGTAATCCGTTAATCGTATTTGCATTTAAACAAAATCTTTCATGACACTATTCGATACGGAAGTTAAGTAACTACCACTACAAAATACAAACTGTATCGTTTCGGATAGTTCGATAATTAACTAAATTTATTTATTGACTATCATCATCAAAAATCGGGATCAAGCAAATTAGATAGTGAGCGTTATTGATTTTTGTGACTAGTTTTAGAAGAAAGTCGAATCTTTATAATTTAATAAAGGATTTTTTCTTTAGATTTCTGTTGCAGGAACCACCTCAACATAAAAATTTCATACGCGGTTGTTAGGTAAGCACATTTTCCAGTTTAGAATAACATTTCCAGCGAAAATGACAAATTAAATCATAATCTCTAATTGCTTTCTTGTATAAAGCTTTGTAACCATATTTCAATTCCTTCGTCTTTTTTAGAATGTTCCAAAGAAACTTCTTGAAGTTTTGGTAACTTTGCATTAAATAAAGCCCTGAATTTTTCATCTGTCAAATTATCACATTTCCTAAAAATCAGACTTTGTAAATTTTCACAGTTGGCTAATCCCTCCAGAGATTCACATTCCTTGAAATCAGAATTAATAAATTCAATTACCCGTAACGATTTTGCTTGTTTTTTTATAGATGGAAAGATTTTTTTAAAATATCTAACAAAATTTGTAATTATTAAGACTTCTAATGATTCTTGCCGTTCAATCAAATCGGCATAATCTGTTGCATCTCTTTCACAAATTATGCTACCTTTTTTAGAATTCTGAAACTGCAAATATATATGCAAATGTCGCTATGAGAAAAAAAATTAGTTGAAAGATTTAAAAAAAAACAAAAAGGATAAAGCATCATCTCATCGTCACTTACAACGCTTTGACATTGTCCACTAAGTAATGGTAAGAATTTTGGATTTAACACTTTGCAATCTAAATACATTTTCTTTACTGGCTTTACCAAAGAATGAACGTTTGGATTTACGAGATGCATGTATTCATTATCCCAATCACCACGTCGATCATAATTCTCAAGTTCCAACGATTGTAAAATAAAGTCTCTATTTGCAAGAATTTCAAGTAAAGCTGGCAACATTATACCAAACGAGTCATTTTTCTTATAGATCCCATTACTTCCGAAATGAAATAAAGATGATATAAGACCATAATAATTTAAATTCTTGAGAAAAGAAATATAATCAAATGATGTTGATTTGACCTTCATTGGAACTTCAATTCCTTGACTTTTAAGATTACGCCTCTCTCTCTTAGTTAAGCAAGCGATATAAATGGTAATTAATCCATCTGGCATTTCGTAAACAAAAAATCTAAATGGATCTGACCAAAGAACTGGAATTGCTGTTCTACACCAATACCTATTAACTAAAACACAATTAAAAAGATTACTTTGATGATGATCTGACACATAAAGAAATTCGAAGATTTCCGAGAGAATTTCAGGAGAAAATAATTCTGTCATATGTATTCCAAAAATTAAAAATTGTGAATTGATAATTATTATAATAGGTTAAAAAAATTATGAAATATAACTTTAAATGATATTCAACAGATGTTTGTACAACGTTAATTCTTAAAGTGGCCAAGCCGCAAGTCTAAATTTAATGCATGTATACCCATGACCATGTTTTTATACGTATCTGTATCTCAACTCTCCATCGTCTTATTTGTCTCCGACGCGCGACTTTACCTTAGAATATTTGTTCGTTTTTGCTAAATTTGTATGTTATTTTCTTTTTCTTTTAATACATTTATGTCTTTTTAACAAGCTTCCTTTAAATAAGATTGATATTTTTATTAAAAAACGAAAGTGAAAAAATTTTAAAAAATATTCACAGTATATTATTTTCATTTAATATTTTTAAAAAGCGTTTAGCTTCGTAAAAAAAGAAAATAAGTATTTCTCAATAAATTAACTTTTATTTTTTTTTCATTCAGTGAAAATTTTTCATTGTTAAGGTGATAATTAATATGTAAATTTTTTTTTTTTTTTAACCAATCAATTTTCCAAACATTTAACATTTGATTCTTTATAGTTTATAAGTTCTTTTGTTAATGAGTTCAAACTATATTTTGAGTTCCGGATACTTGATTTGAGTAGTCATTATATTGGTTGATATAATTAATTTACCATGGGAAGACCGAGAACAAGATCATTGACAAAAGCTGGCAATAATGATGATTCCGGAAAGGTTGTGCAAACAGAACAAACCCCATTGGTGCAACAATCCAAAGCGAATGCTCCGACCAGACAGAATAAACAAGTACAACCAATTCTGCAATCTGGTCAGCATTCTAAGTTTGAACAGAGTAAACAAAGTCGAAAAAAAGGTGTGACACTCGGTAGACCAAGGAAAAATCAACCAAAAAAAAGTAATAAAATAAAAAAAAAGTCACAAGTATTACATAATGTAATAGATGACGATGACGACGAAGACGATAATGTAGATGAATTAGTAGAAGATTATGATAATGCAGAGTATGATGATGACTTCTATTTTGACGAGGATGAAGTTATATTTGAAGAAATGGATGATCCGAGAGATGAAGATTATTTACCAAATGTAAATTATACGGTCGAATCTTCATCTAAAAAAAATCGAGCGAATTTGAATTTTCGTCGTACACCAGGAACGAGGTTACCTAATGTTAACTTGCTACCAATGAAAAGTGATAGTTCAGTATATCCTGCGATTCAAAATTTAATTCAAGGAACATCTTCAAGTGGGAACATTTCAGATTTTCATGATACTTCAATGAATATATCAAATGCATTGTTACCAAATCATTTACAATATTCTAATTACACACAAGCAGGGTCAACGTCTAGAATGACTCCTAAGCCTATAAACCCTACGGAAAGAATTATGCCACAAATAACTAATAATTACATGCCAATGCGTGAAATTCCGCCTCCAAGAGTTGTACCGATACCATCAGGTCGAGATGATGTACGTAGTGAAACCGAATTCAATCGTAATTTACAATCATTATCAAACGAGACTCAAAGTATTCACATTAATAATCCTTCAATAACCAATCATATTTCTAATCGAACTGAACATCTTTCCTCACGTAATATCCAGGATCAGTTTCCATCCGTTAGCCATCAACATTCTCCTATGAATCAGGAGGCGTATACATCAGCTCAAAGTAATAATACATCTAATGCATCGCATATGCCAGAATCACGAGAAACCGGAAGTACTACATGTGATATATGTCATTCGACAGGATGTTCAACTCAAAAAACAAGTACAACGATAACAATTAAAATGACTACAGTTACTGAGGCTGATCAATTTGGAAATATGACTACAAGAACATTTGTTGAAACAGATATTACACCCGTCGCTGGCTCGATAGAATCTACGGACAAGACTGAAATACTTGTCGAAGCGGATGAAAATGAGAATCGTTCGAACAACGTGGCACCAACAACTTCGTCTATCGCCTCAGATCAGAATATACCAAATGAAACATCTTCACCTGCTACACCTCAGGAAACGGAAATTCAAGAATCAGAACAAAATCGAGATCACATAGATCAACAGATAACTCAGGAACCCGCGTCTATTTCAGTTCCTACTTCATTTCCTGTTTCTGACCCCGTTTATAATCCTGATCCTAATCCTTACCCTGATCCCGTTTTCAATCCTATTCCAAGTTCTGTTCCAAAACCTGTTGTTTTCAAACCTGTTCCACAACCAATTCCACTTAATTTGCCTAGCATCATAGCAAGTTCGAGTCAAACTGCTGCAAGACTAGAAAACGCAAATATAATACATCATAACCACGCATTACAAAATTTGTTAAGTACAACGCAACAAAATCAATTAAATCAATTAAATTTATCGGCAAATGCAAATTTATCACAAAGTCAACAGCCAAGAATAAATCGACCGATACTTCCAGCCCAGAATCAGCCATTACAGCCTCGACCAGAAAGACTAAAGCATAATATAGAGAGTATTATTAATTCAGTTAATTCATCACCAAAAAGTACTACTGTAAATTCTTCGAATTTATTAAGGAATCAAACTTCTGGCTTTATGATTCCATTGAATTCAACGAATGATGACGTTAATAGAATCGATTCATTTACTGGCCTGCAAGATCTCGATGGAATGTCAGAAAGTAGTCCTTCAACACGACAATCACAGACTAGTCCTAGTAAGAAAAAAACAACGACAAAGAAAAGATCAGCATCAAAATCAACTGCACCTTCAGCATCCAAACGAAAAAATCAAAGAATATTGCCAAATAAAAATCCCTCAGAAGCTCAAATAGTTATTAGTCCATATATGATGAAAGCTGCCAATACTTTCATGAGTGGTAACAACTCGACCATACAAGATGTTGCCCCTTCATCCACCGAAGTTGGTTCCTCACAACAATGTAGTAGTCCTTATCTTACCTTTATTGATACAAATTCACAAAGTTTGCCCTATTATAATTCGCCTCCTCGTCCGCCTATATTTCATGCAAATGATGCAACTTCAGCTTCGATTAATTCAATGAATTCGACTAATGCTCTCCCGATTGCTACAACACCTCATAATAATTATTCAGAAATATCTCGTGGGACATCTTCTACAACACCGCATAGCAATTCTACAATACAGCCCAGCAATAGTAGCACTCCTCAAGTTAGCTCATCTAGTAATACGTGTGTCTTTCTAGATCCCTACAATAATCCATTTGTCATGCCAAGAATTGGTGGAAGTTCGTCCGAAAGTACACCAACAGTGCAATATAATAATAATGATATATTAGTTAGGTCTGGTAGTAGTTCAAAAACTATTTCAACAAACGGAGGTGGCGTTGGTTATGACTCCCACAGCAGTCCTGTTGTTAATTCCCTTGAACCATTACCACCTTATTATCACATGATTCCTATTGAAACAATGGGATCGGTTACAGATATATGGAACGAATGGAATGTTGGTATTAATGGCAATCCATCTGTGATATTAATGATGGAACGATATGGAGGTAAATGGGTTTATGAAAATGAGTATCACTTAAGGAAACGTAGAATTATTGTAAAAGAAGTCCAAGTTAGATCAGAACAAATTGGAATCTATGATGCATTAGCAGAATTGGAAAGATTGAGGAACGGAAATTCTTTATTATGGTTAGCGGATTGGATTCGAACAAGAGAATGAAGAGAGATAGTAAAATTCTTTCTTGATGTGTAAGGAAGCAATTTAAATGATTTGATTATTGCTTATTGTATGTTATATGAATCGTGATTTGAACGCGAAATAGAAGACATTTCCTTTTTCTTTTCATTAGGATATAATAAAGTGTATATATTAAAGCCATATAAAATTTTAACTTGATATACTGTATATAAAATGAAGTAAATAAATAAATCAAAATTAAATTAGTTGATTAATTAATAAATTAATTTAGTAGATAAGTAATATAATTTATATTTTAAGAACTTATAATTAGGAGAGAAAAAAAAAAAAAAGTTATAGGTTAATAATATAGAAAGTTTTTCAATTGACTTTAGAAATTATTTCATCAAAAAAAAAAAAAAAAAAAAAAAAATGCAGAAATTATAAGAATTTTTTTATTGAGTTTATTTAATTATAATTATTATGATATGTATATATTATATAAGTATATAAATCTATTAAAATTACTATTTTTACTATTACTATCATTCGAATTCAACAATAACGTGCCCTAATTCTCTCATTAATAATTCTTTATAGTTACCAGCAATTTGCTGCTTAATCTCCAATCTATGTTTTCTTGCATATCTTTTTATAACGTTCAAATGCTGCCAAACACTTCCATAAGAAATAAATTCCAATCTATTCAAATCAGCTTTACATTCACGAAGAAAAGTATCAACGGCAGATGATGTAAATGCACAATCAGTTTTCACCACAAATTTTTTCAAACTTGCTGGTATAACTTCGCGAAGATTAATTAATAAATCATCATTAGCATCCTGTGCAAATATGAAAATACGATTCGGAAGATGACCTTGTAAAATTATTGTCTCTAAACGTTTACAAGAACGAAATAAAGAATTAAGTTGTCCCATTCCATTTTTGGATAACCTTGCATGAAGTTTTGTTATGTTTGGACAATTAGTAGCCAACTTTTCTATTATACGAAAATGTTGATTTGAATCCGCTTCAATATTAATTGAAATTAAATTAATATTCGCGTGATGAAAAATTGTTTCTAACGTATCGGCCGGAAAATGGGTCCCTTGTAAATCCAAATCGTGTAAATCAGGAAATAAAGATCTCGAAAAGGAAAGTGTAATGTTACTTGAAATTTCTCCACATTGAATAAATTTTAAAGTTGTTAATTCTGTACAAGCAGCTGCAAGAGATTCCAATGGTCTACAATTTTCAAAATTACAAAATCTAAATTCCAAATATTTCATTTTTTCACGATTATCAGATAAAGCTTTAATGACTTTTGACATTTGCTCATTCGTTCCATCCCATAATACGAATTTACGTAAATGATGTTGTTTTCTTATTAAATTAGATAATCCTTCGGCATTTGAATCATCTTCGCCAATTCCAAAAATTGTCATATTTTCAACATTTCTACATATCTTGGAAAGGACTATATACAAATCCAGTTTCTTTGAACTGCCACGACAAATAAAGGTTCGAATATAAGATAAGCAAATTGTAGCACCAGGAAATTTTCCAATTGAAGTAAATTCAGAAGGTATTGTTGTCTCAGAGTCCAGTGCTAAGTAATCAATTATTGGTGATTTATTTAATATGCATTTAATTAATTCTTTGGTAATCATAAACTTTCTACATTCATCATCATCCATTCCAAAGATTTTTATGAAGTCAATTGATTGTTTCTTTTCCGATGATTGATTTGCATACCAATTTCCAATCGCATAATATACTTGAAAATAATCGAATCCTCGCAAAAATGACACGTAGTCAAATGTCAAAGATTTTTGTTGCGCAAATGAGAAATGATTTTGTTTATTTCTTGTCATGTCCGATGATGATGCATGAGATGTGATTGTAATACTACTATCTAAATTTGGCGAATTTGGTTTATTTAATGTTAAACAGGATAGATATGTAGATATTAATCTACATCTACTTTTCGATGAAAAGGATCCGTGTGCTGTAAGATAAAAAGTACGTCGCCATAAGATTGGTACTGTATTAATGCACCAATAACGATTTACCAAAAGGAATGAATGTAAAGAATGCGGATCCGAGTCAAAATATGAAAGGATATTCGTAAGACAATCAGACGTTAAATATGCAGCCATTGTAATATAAATGAATAAAATATATCATAGATGATCAATTACAGAGAATGTGCAGGAAAAAAAAAAAAAAAGAGGAACGTAACAGAAAACCTGTTCACGTTAAATATTTATTAAAAAAAAAAAAAACCCCCCTAAATTATCTGATCGATCAAAATTGTCATGTGAATAAATTGTGAAAATTCAATTATGCATTTATATGATCTACATATTTAAATTTATTCCCATTGAAATGGTTTCTATCAACAAGCTTGATAAAGAAGAGCTTGCTGCTATCATTGCTCAAGAATTACATATCGATGTCGCTTTTCCTTGTTTTTCCGTTGAAGAGCAAACCGGAGCGACTGCTTGTTGTGTGGTAAGTGAAAAAAAATAGTTGATACAGCAAGTAATTTGTCCTCATTTAAACTTTGTGTAATTTTTTTAGGTCCATAAACATTGGCTATCTATTTTAAAACAAGCAAGGTTTAAAGATACTGTACAACTAAAACGATATACCAATACTCGTTCTCCTTTAAATTCCAGTAATAATTCTGATCAATTGCATACCGATGATCTTCAATCATCTACAACAAACGTTTTGGTCAGCGTTTTTTTGAAACGTCAGATACCAGGAAATCGAAGGTAAGATAAATGTACGATATATGAACCTTAGGAAAGTTCATTCATTATATATGAAATCTAATATCGATCATGATTCATTTTTAGACCACAATTGTTTTCAAAAGTAAATTCTGGTAACAGCGATGCATCATCACATAACTTTGATGAAGAGCTTGAATTGCCAATAAGAACTTTTCTTAAAGAACAACTTGAAGATAAATCGATGTCAAGTTTGGAAGAGATAGAGGCGCAGTATAATACTTATGTCCCAATATTTATAGATCAACAATTTCAGAATGAAGATGCTCTAATTGACTTAGAAATCCAGTTGGCCAGACAGGAGGTATTTATTATACATAATCGGTATAAATTTAAAATTAATTCTTTAGAATTTATTAATTTTACTTGTACTATTTTTTCAAAGGCTTTTGTTAAAAAATTCATAGAAATCTTATATCCAGAGAGTGCCTATTTCCGAATCAAATCACCACCCACGGATGATTCTCTGACTATGGAATTATTATCTGTTCCTGATTGGTCCTCCGACGTGCCAACCACAAGCCCTAATTTAATCGATGTTTTTGCGGTAATAGAATCAGACCGTGCCTTTTATTTTATGACTCCTTATCGTGGAACTTCACTGCAGGATCTATTGAAGTATAGTTCTGGCGTATTGGATTCTAACGTTAAGAAGTCTTTTATTTTATACCAACTATTGAAAACTGTACAAAAACTTCATCAAATAGGTGTGATTCATGGAGGGTAAGCGAAGGTTTTATAGCATTGCTTTTTATTGTTATAAAAGTTTAATTTTATCAAATCAAATTTATTTTTCATTTGATAGACTCAAACCATCAAATATTTGGGTGGATGAGAATTTATGGGTGACGCTTACTGGATTTGAATGTTCGGTTCCTTTATGCGATGATACATGTCAGTAAACATATACTTTCTAACATAGATAATTATCAAAGTAATATTTAATTTATTAATTTGTATATTTAGATCATTACTCACAAGAAGTTGTATTGGGAAATATTCCAAAAGGTCAGTTTAACATGTACATTGAAAATTTAATGGTTACCCATATTCTAATAAATTTTGCCTTGTTTAAAATAATATAATGCAGAAGTACAAGATGATACTTTCACAATGAAATGGGTTCGAGGAGATATTACAAATTTTAATTATATTATGTCCTTGAATTATCTTGCCGGTTTGTTATTTAATGTTTTTAATTCAGTGAAATCGTAATCACATCTCGTATTTATACTAATATTTTTAATATTAGGTCGTAGAATTGGTGATCCAAATTTTCATCCAATATTTCCGTGGATAACAGATTTTACTGGGTCAGATGTTTCAAAAAATTGGAGAGATTTTACAAAAACAAAATTTCGTCTCAATAAAGGTAGTCTATTTGTATTAGGATTTAGACAATATTTACAAAGACATTTTTATGTATTAAAATATGATATTTTCATAGGTGATGAACAATTGGATTTCACATTTGATGGCCCGATACCTCATCATATTACAGATATTTTGTCAGATATTACGTATTTTGTTTATCTTGCACGAAAAACACCTGTTCCGGTATGTGAAGATATTTTATAGAAATTCGAAAATATTTTATAACAAAATTAATCTTTTAACATAGGTGTTGTGTCAATATGTGAGAACAAAATATGAACCCAATGAGTATCCATCATCTTTACAAAGATTATTTAAGTGGACGCCTGATGAATGTATTCCTGAATTTTATACAGGTAAGAATTAATGGTATAAATTTATCGCAAAAAAATTTTTTTTTTTGATTACAATTTCCTGATTTAATAATAGATCCAAGTATATTTACTTCAATACATCCGGATATGCCCGACTTACAATTGCCAATGTAAGCGTTTTAAATTTGAAAACTGTGTAAATATTTTGAACTATTTTATAAATTTATTATTTAACAGGTGGGCATCTTCCGCTGAAGAATTCATAAGAATTCATTCTGAAGCATTAGAAAGTGATCACGTGTCGAGTCATTTACATCAATGGATAGATTTGACTTTTGGATGTAAACTTAGTGGTACATTATTAGGCCAATTTTTCTTAATATTTTTTATTTACGAAACACATCTAATAACGATTCTTGATATATAAGGTAAAGATGCCGTAGAGGCCAAGAATGTAGCGTTACCACTTATAGATGGACAGAATTCATTTATGAAACATGGAATCACGCAATTGTTTTCTGATCCGCATCCACAAAAATCCATAAAAAAGAACAATGAGCGACGTTCATCTGTATATATGAATGGAGACAGAACTTTATTAGAGAAATACGAAATGATCTCCTCCAAACGAAGGATTCCGTCAAAAATAACAGATTCAGATTTTAAGATATCTTCAGAGCTGATGACAGATTTTCTTAAAAGTAACGGAGCCCACAAAACTATAGGAAAATTATACCATCAAACTGGTTCACCCAATCTTAGAAATTCTAAATCACCAAGACTTGGTCCTACAACACCAAGATCATTATCTTTATATGAGACCGTCTGTAGTATTGAGGAAAAGAAAGATAATTCATCAAGCGTTCCTTCAACAACGGTAGCAGCAGCTATGGTAACAAATTCGGATTCAAAAGATCGTATTGAAATATTGCTAACATTAATTAATTCTTTACCAATACATTTACCTGATGATATGAATAATGAATTTTTTATAGAGAAATTAAGTAATTTTGAACAAGCTCATTCTTTTGCTGCAAAATATTTACCAAATAATAATGATTTAGAACAAAATAATCTTAATAAGGGGTTATATGAAATAAACATTGTTCATGATCCCCAACAAAAACGTAAATCGGTATATGATGAGATGATGGAGCCAATCGAAGTTTCTTTTGCATATGGAAGAGCGTGGGACACTTATAGTCTTGGCAAAATTATTGAAAGTATTTATCATACGACAACGGATGATATAAATTTATCATTACTATGTAATAAAACAAATTGTGAAGAAAATCAAAAAAAAAGTAATTCTAAGGTAATATTTACTATTTTTATAAAGGTTTTTCTTTAAAATATTTATGTGTATTTTAATAATTTTTAAAATTATCTAAGTTGCCATTACCAATTCAAGGAGTTATTTCTTCGTTAATTAATCCGGATTGGAGAAAACGTCCATCAATTGATTCAATATTATATTGTTCTGTACCAGTTACAAGTTTTTGTGATCAATGTGTTACGTTTCCTTTACCCATTTGCATACCGGAAGTTTATGAATTTTTAACAGATTTTCATAAAGTGTAAGTTTAGATAATTAACATTATAAATGAGGGATTTGTATAATTTAATTAATATAGAATTATTTACTTGAAAAGGGATTGGATAGGAAGATTGAAATTGGCTGAACATTGGATGGACAGATTGTGTAATTTTACTGATGAGGTATATATATATTACTGATGCTGTTCACTTATCACATTTAATTCGGTTTAAATGATTTAATTTTTATTAATATCAATGTGTTTAGGCATTTTACATGATATTACCAAGCCTAGTTTTGTTATTTACAAATGATTCTATAAAGTTCGAAGCATTAAATATTTTTTCAAGCCTCGGACAGAGATTAGGACAAGATGAGACTAAGGCTCACCTTTTAAAACCTATAGTTTCCTTGTTTGAGGTGACCTCAAGACATTTTCTTTTTAATTTATCCTAAAGATATGTTTTTATTTAATTATAACTTTTAATTTTTTTTATAGTCTTCGAGGCCTTCAATTCCAAAAATTCTGTTTGATTCTGTTATTATTAAGGAATTTATACATAAATTTGGCATTCCTAATTTTCTTCAGCAATTATTTCCACTTTATCTAGAATCTCTAACAATCGAGGAAAATGTACTACCATATAAATATGGTACGAACAGTTTCTTAGAACCTCCGCACAATTATAATAATCAAAATTTGTACCATAATTTAAAAAATGCAAATAATTCATCAGACGTAGAAATGATGGCAAATCCAATATCAATATTAACAAGTAGTTTGGATAATGCATTACCAAGTGTGGCACTTCTGGCAAATGGGGCACTTGTAGACATATGTACATTAATAGGTCCTATTTTGAGCAGCAAATATATTATGAAGCAGGTTTATAAAATGTTTTTAAAAGAAAGTCCCACATTGAATTTTTTGATGCAAAGTGTTTTGGCTATTGGTAAATAAAGTCTTGTGATGTTTAATTTTATTTAAATTTATAATAATAATGATTATTATTATTTTATAGGAAATCAATTTGGAGAAACATTTACACAATTACAATTCACTCAAGTTATTAGTATAATACAGCAATATAGTGATTTTACAATGAATAATAGGCATTATGCTATATTATGTAATCATTTCTCATTATTAGAAAAGGTAATCGTTTTTCATTTCATTTCATTTTTATGTTATAAATAAAAATATAATATTTATTTTGAATTTAGTTAACAACATTAATGTCAAGTTCCAAAATCCTGATAGAAATAGAATCAGGATTTTCAAATATTTTGATTAAATTATTACTATTATTTGGACAACAATCTAGTACTAGTGATTCATCAACTAGTACAACTTCTAATAAGAAATTAAATAATACGAGCGGAAAGAGTAATTTATCAATACAGATAATGAAAAATAAATTTTCCATTAGTATAAAAACGATGGAATTTATATTAAATATTTGTAATCATATCGAAAAGGCTGAATGGGAGAAACATGTAAGTTGGATGTCAAAAAGAAGAGTTTATTAATTTCGGAAATTATATGAGAATTTTTTAATTAAGAATTTTACACGTTTTTGATGAAAATAACCAGATCGCACCTATACTAGTTAAGTACTTTGAATTATTTGGAAAATCTGTTCAAAATAATGGAAAAGAGGATGAAGTCACTTTAACTAAGCTGGAGCAGGAAAGGGATCAGCAGGTAAATGATATATTCTTTATGCTTTAGGATTAAAGTCATGTATATGATTTTTTTTTATTCACTATATTATTATATTATTTAATATAAATACATATGCCTTCTTAGATTATGTATGCATATTCCCAATTTTGTACATTATTTGAATCAGAAACTATAAGACAAGCTATTCCTAATAGTGAAATTATTGAGACGGCTATATTGGATTCCTCAGAATCTTATTCATCCTCACGTCGTACCATGTCTCCATCATATTCATTAAATGAAACTTCAAGCGATCGAATATCAATAACATCAGCATCTTCTGAAAACACTTTAAATAAAGAAAAAAATCCAATTCCTTCCATTTTATCAGCAACTCCAACAAATTTGCGTTGGAATATAAATTTTGAAGATAAAAAACATTTGACGTTGTTACCAAGTACGAATGCTTCTATAACGAAAGAAGTGGCAACAATAACTACGTCAGCCGCTACGACTTCATCAGGATTTAGTGTTAATCGAGCGTTTAGTTTGTTTGGTAATGGAGAAGTTACTAGTAGGAAATTACTGGATATTAATCATCATGGTGGAAGTGGCGGTTCTCATATTAGAAGTATTAGTATGCCAACTTCGGTATCTTCTAAAAGTAATCATATTCCAAATTCTAGTGGGCCCAAGAAGTAAGTTTTAATGAAAGGATATATATATTTTTTTATATAGAGGATTTTTCGATTAAAATAATTTCGGTAAAATGTCATTTGTAGGTCAAAATTGAAAGTTAATTTATCTTGGAGAACCAAAAGTTCTTCTAATGAAGACTTAAAGTAAGTAAAGCTTAGATATCTTTAAGTAAACTGATTTAATATTCTTATTTGATAATCTTTAATTTCAACTTTACAGGAATTGGACTAGATTCTTATCAACGAATTCAGGCATTCTTTTTTTCCTTTATTCTTTAACATAATTTGAATTCTAAAAATATTTACATTAATTTTGATTTATTATACAGAAGAAATGTCGAATTCTATGCAGTTTACATTTAATGACCTAAAATTAAGAACATTCCAAGGTAGACTTTCAATTGGATTTTTTTTTTAAAAGAAAAAAAAATAATTTTTTTTGATATTTGAACCCCCCTTTTTTTTAACTATAGGTCATGTATCGGCTGTTCGTTCCATTGATATAAATGAACATAGTCGGTTAATTGTATCAGGTTCAAAAGATCGTACAGTAAAGTTATGGTCTTTAAATATTCATCAAGGAATAGAAAATAGCTTAATTGAACCTTATTCAGAATGTTTGAAGACATATACCGGACATAGAAAGAGCACAATCGGAGAAGTACATTTTTTTGGAGGAGGTGGTAGTTGGGGGTTAGGCGATAATATAGTTAGTTGCGACGGTCAAGTTCATGTAAGTTCAAAATAAAAAAAAAAAACTATATATATATATTTTTTTTTTCGAAAAAAAATATAAATATAAGTAAAATTTTTTATCCCATAGATATGGGATCCTGAAACTGGAACGACTATAAATCAATTTGGAAATTTTAAAAATCCATATTTATCGATTAAACCAATATTTAGATCAACTTTAGTTGGAGGTTTAGCTGATACATCTATCACGCAAGTATTCAACGAAGGATTTTTTTAGATTTAATGGATCTATTCTAAATTCCTTATCTCTTTAATATAATAGATTCTTTGACATTAAATCAAAAAATCATTTACTCCCATGGAGAAGTGCTCCAATCTTTGCTGGCAATATTAGAATTGTGTGTATTAATCCAAGCGAGACCTTAATTGCTGTTGGATTTACTAGTGGAGTTATTTCATTGTTGGAATCACGAACAGGGACTTTGATTTCTAGTTGGAAAGCTGGTGATACTGATATTGTTCACGTAAGTAAATAAACATGAAATTTATTCAACTCTTGAAATATATCAATTTAAAATAAATTTTTTTGTATTATGCAGATGACATTTTATACAAACAATTACTTGGTATCTTGTGCTCCTGCAGATCATGTGATTTATATTTGGGATACTGATACTGTTCGTCTAATAAAAACCATTAAAGGTAAACATGAACCTAAAAAAATGTTTTAACCTTTTTTTTTGTAGGATTATTTGAAATTTATTATGTTAGTGCTAAATCACTTTTGCATTTTTTTTTTTTCAGTTAATTCAGATATAGTAGCGTTGAATATGTATAAAGATGAAGTTATTACAATCAATAATAGTAATACGATTACATTCTTCCCATTAAATGATAATGTATGTATTAAATTTTTTAAAATTATTATTATTTGAATTCCAACCTTGAGATATTAATCATTTTATTTTATTTATTTATGAGAAGTTCCAAACTTATTCGTCTAAATTTAAGAGTTCTACGATTAAATCTTCGATCTCTAGTTTAGGAATATTACCTATAAATCAATTATTGTTATTAGGGTGTTTAGAAGGAGATTTATTTTTGTATGCCTAAGAAATATGAAAAAGATGCCAACATGCCCCATTAAACGGGACATTTGCATTTATCATATTAGAAGGTAATAATTTTTTTTTTTTTAAAAAAAAAAAAAGCACCTCACAAATACAATTGAGGTCTTAACCCACTGGTAAAAATTTTTCGCATTTAATTATCATATTCAATAATTTATTTTATTCTACAATTTTAAAAGTATATTAGCGATCATTGCAATATTCAACGTCTTGAAATGACTCATCATAACGATACTAAATAAAATTCGAAATTTTTGGTCATATATGACGGCCTTTTCTTTTGATCGTTGTTTTTATGTAATATTATTAATAATAGTAAAAATTCAACTCATTAAAACTTTGGCAAATAAAAATGTATTTGCGATCTTATAGATAAATTTCAAGTCTTGGAAAATTTCCGAATAAAATGATAAAAAATATTATCATAATTTTATTATCATATTGTTAGAGTTTCACACAATATCATAAAAATTATTTACCAGTAGGAGAATTCCCAAAGTTTTCAAATAAATAATCAATGGAGTAAATATAACCTTATTTACTAACTTACCAAATTCTTCCCATTTAATTGACAAATTCAATAGTCCAATCTTTACTGATAAATAATTTAGGATCTCTAATAATAACAACATCTTTGGATATTTCTTCAATATTAATTCCAATATAATTAGTTCCTCCTGAACTAAATTCTAATTCTTTTTTATCATCTGTTAAATCATTATAATACCCAATTATTTTCTTTGGTGCTCTATCAATTCCAACAATAATTATCCTTTCTACTCTAAGATCCTGATTTGATTTAATATAATTATTTTCTTTATCTATAATTTGACCATCAATAAATGATGTCGATAACAATTTTCTGGAAGTAAAATTAAATTTTCTATGTATAAAATGTCCTTTTTGATATTCATATGTTTCTCCATCATCTAAATACAACGATCCGGTTGCTTCTCCCTATAAACAAAGAAATGAAAATAATATTTATCATATTTTAATTTTTTTTAAGAAATTACAATGTTACTTTCTTTTTACCTTTTTGTCTAAAGCAACCAAAAGTGTAAATGGATCTGAACGCATAGATAATGAAGATCTTCTAAATCTTTGTCTTCTAGGAATAATGGAACCTCCTCTTAAGAATACTGGAATCTTATTTATAGGAGCAATTACTTTAACTTTACCGGACCCTTTAACTTTTTTAAATGTATAATAATCATAAAATACCTACAAAAAAAAAAATAAAGTAAAGTTAAAGATCGAATACTCTTATTTCCTTAATATTATTTTGAAAATAAATTTTTCTTTCATACTTCATTTCTTGAAAAGTAAATTTCTGTGGAAGTCTGTCCTTGACTCGTGATAGGTTTAACGAGAAGAGAATTTCCAACAAAATATTGATCCTCCATAGAAAATGTCTCTTCTTCATTCGGAAAAATTACAAACATCGGTCTAATGATTGGCATTCCATCAGTGCTAGCTTCTTGAAATAAAGTATACCAAAAAGGTAATAAAATATATCTCTGTCGAATTGCGTCTCTAATATAGCTAGTGTGTGGTTCTCCAAACAACCAAGGTTCCCGACGCTTAGTATCAATATGAGCATGTGCTCTAAAAAAAGGTTGAAAAGCACCAGTTTGATACCAACGAACTAATAATTCGGGATCAGGGTTTCCAAAGAATCCACCAACGTCAGCTAAATTAATAATTAATAAACAACAAATTAATTTATATATCAAATAATAATAAATAAATATAACTTTTAATTAACTGACCTCCTGAGAATGGCAATCCAGAAATACCGATAGTCAACAACATTGGGGATGATATAGCTAAATGGTCCCAACTCACAGAATTATCACCCGTCCAAATTGCACCAAATCTTTGACTTCCGACAAAAAATGCTCGAGAAAGTACAAAAGGACGACGGTGTGGAATTGTTCGGTTAATTAAACCCTGAGCAGTTGCTGCATGCTGCAAAGTATCACAAAAATTAGTAACTAGAACATTATTCTTGGAATCAAAATCAAATTAATATTTACAAAAGCCATTCCGAAAAGGTTATGTATGTTACGATGTTCCCATCCTTCATAATGAATAACATCTTTATGCATCGTAATTTCAGGACCAGTGAAAACAGAAGGCTTAAAATTGATAAAATAAAGATATGATTAGGTTGTCATGAAATACAAGATTAAGTTGCTTGGAAGAATTAATTATCAAATTACCTCATTCATATCATTCCAAATAAATAAGAATTCGGTTGATTCCTGAATAATTTTTAGAAAAAAAAAAAATTGATTTTCGTATTTAAAGATAACTCGTTATAAAGGAATAATTGACTTACTTTATATTGATCAAATGCAAATTTTTTAGCCCACCAATCTTGAGCTTTTGGATTAGTCCAGTCAGTCCAAACAGAGTTTCCAGGCCAGCACCAACCATCATATACTTGATCATTATTATCTTTAGTAAGAATGTCCAAGTCTTTAGCCTCCTTGTAAACATAATAGTTATCATCTTTTTTGAAATGTGGATCTACAATTGTAACCATCTAACAAAAGAGTAAAATTTTTTAATAAATACAAAATTTTTTATTTTATAGCTTAGATCACATCAAAGCTCATATACCTTTCTTCCTTTCCTACCAATATCTCTTTGCATTTTTTCTGGGTCTGTGAATTTTGTTTTATCCCATGTAAAATACTTTTTATTATCGGTATGTTCAATATCCAACCAAATGACATCATATGGGATATCATGTTTATCAAATCCTGCATCAACTTCAGCCACATCAAGCTGATTAAGATAATTCCAACGACATTGATGATAACCGATTGCAAATGATTGAGGTAGAGCAGTGAATCCAGTGAGAGATCCATATTGTTTAAATATATCAGATGTGGTTGGACCAAGAAAGGCAAACACATCAATAATGCCAGACTCAGAAAACCAATGTGTATGCGTCGAAATTGGTGTGGTTTTTCCAAAATTAAGAAAGCTTGAAAGACCATGCTAATAGTTATAATAATAATTATTATTATGAAAAAATTTAAATAAGATCTTATAACTCAATACAATAATATAATTTACTTTGTCTTCTTTGCTTTTGACAACGTCGATCCATGTTTCGGCGGAATTAAGCCATAATACTGCGACTGTTGCTCCCTTACGATGTGCCATCATGAATGGAATTGATCCATATAAAGCCATTGGATTATCTAGTTCATATTCAAATACGTCCAAATTATATAACCGATATGGTTCATCATATGCACCTTGCCCCCCGCTAAAAAAGAATGTAAGAATGTAAATGATGAATAAAATCATATTTATACAGAATAATAGAATATCATACCGTGTTTCCTTTAGTGAAAAAGATGTTGCGTGCTCTGGAATACCATACACATGACCAAACCCCGGAAATGAAATATCGAGACCAATAGACTCGGGTCCTAGTATAAATATAGATATATTATTATATATTAATTTTATTACAAATTTCTGCTTGCTTAATTGTAAATTACCATTCGGTTTTGAATCCTTTTTGCCATTAAATGTTTCTTCCCATGAACCATCCTCTTGCTTTTCTTTAATGTTTTCTTGTATTTCTTCACTTATTAAATCTGCACTGTCGTCAGATTGGATTACTAAATTGTCGGGTTGACTATTAACTGGATCATCTTTTTTCCTTAAATGCTCAATATTAAAGAATCCACGATCATTAAATGTAATGACCGGTAAATCGTTATCCAGTAATTCAACACGAAATGGAGCATGATGTATTATAACCTTATGATTTCGATCTATTCCAAAAGAGATTGATGTAAAACCATCCTTTACTGTATTTTCAGTATACTCTAAAGTAATAATAGGCTCCTGAATTAGTGACCAATCCTTTACTCTATCATATCTAGGTTTTAGTGGACTTTTTTCATTGACTCGAATCCTTACAACATTATTTATTAATAAATGAATTTCAAAAATAAAGTAAATTTTATTTTCAGAATTAATTAATTCTCCTGAAATGACACCATCCTCTATCTTGATCGTATCTTCAATTACATTATATGGTGAACTAGCAGCTTTATCAGCATAAGCACGATTTCTGCGACAAAACGAAGTTTGCGCGCATGTTCTAAAATCCTGTCTCTTCACTGCTGCAATCATTATAATAAAAACTAAAATTACAAATGCAAGCAGGAAAAAGTGCTTTGTAAAACGAATAAAAGCATTATTCGAGTTTTTTCTTCCCGTATGAGTACTCATTTTTATCAAAAAATTAGAAAAAAAAAAGTGGCTTAGAATCGATCATTTATTTGTGTTATTTGTGTTTGAATCTACAAATTTATCGTTATATTAAGTTATATGATTTTTTTTGTGGTGATAAAAGTAAATTTGTGTGAGAAAAATGCATAACCGGTTAATTAATATGTTGCAATTCTTAAAATCGAATTTTAAAAAATCTCTATTTTTTAACATTGCGCATTATATTTTCGTTAAA